GGATGTTGCGGCGCGCAATGAACTGGAAGTTGATCTGTCAGCACTATCCTTATCTTCAGGGCAGATGCTTTTATTTTATTCGGCTTATTATATGGGGATTATGTATATGTTTTATGCATGCGCGCATTCAAAGAAATGTTTAATAAAGTAAACAAATATTAAGCTTTTTTTTTTTTTTATAAATTTTGATACCCTTTAGATCATAATTGCTCTTTATTTCATAAATTACGGTTTCATATTTTTAATTTTATAATTTCTGCATGCCATCTTACCAGATTTAAACTGATGATCTATAATCCGGAATCGCCAAAGTCCCGACGAGTCCGGATTAACGACTTTTGACTGTACTTTAAAAATTTCACTTGCAGTTGCTCTATTGTGAAGAGGTTGACGAAATAAATACTCTTCGGAGATTTCTTTATCTTCTTCAAAACGCAGGTAAACTAATAATGGTTCATTATATCGGCCCTTTCATTCAACTGCAATGCGAAATAAACACTTTTATTTTTTGAATAAGTATATCTTTTATGGAATTTGCCATTTCATGATTTCATCGATTTACTGTAATACTTATTAATGGAACACTATTAAATTCATTAGCCTCTTTTTCGTTGAATAATGTTAAAACAATATCTTTAGCTGCTAGTAATATAAGATTTCCTCCAATAGTGTGAGCCTGCCTAGTCTAGGCAATTCTTAGTCTTACTGGGTAACTAGCTTCCAAAGCATTTGCACTTAAAGTAACAAAACCTTTCATTACTTGTTTACTATTTTTGAATTCCAATAATTTCCTCTAGAAATATTCTTCATATTTATCCTTTACACTTATCATGATTTCTTTTAAGAAGTGGTGGTTTTCTACTTTGACTGGATACTAGTTCACCTTAAACAACACATTGAGATTGAGGGTCCATTTTAGCTTCATTCCAAGTAAACATAAATGATAATCCTAGCCATTTTTCCATTTTGAAAATCTAGGTTTGTTACATTATTTTTTCTCAAATATTTAAATACACAATATATTACGAGTTCTTCATAAAGAAGTAACAATATTCTCAAATCGCATAGAAACGTAAGGAATACAAAACACCTGCTGCTAGAGACAGCATATTGACATAAAAAAAAAATATTTCACTTGAAATAAGAGCAATATGAGCCCGGAAATGGTGTCGACATAAAAGTGTAAACATGTTATAATAAGTCAATCAACTCTGTTACCTTTTTATAGAAACTTTTTTTTATTTCCTATTAACAAGGTTGCCACTCAAACAGGAAAATGAAATTGCGCGACTTTTTCCAGGTGTGTGTTTTAAGAACATTCCAGTCTATCCGCGTAATGCACATTTGCTATGCTAAGAGGTAAATTAATTATGGTACCACTTGAAAACACAAAAATTTGCCAATTACATATGACTTATATATATATAATATTCCCAAAGCATTACTATTATAACTATAATACGAGTTGTTTTCTTCACTGAAGATTGAGATTAGAATCTGCCCAATCTGGATTAAAAAATGTCTTTTTTGCAGACATTTTGAAGCTAAACGAAAGAAAAATCTATTTAATGATATTTTAAAATAAATTCAAGTATTTTATATTTATTTAGCAGCATATATAAGCAAAAAATACGTGCATTAAATTTCGTGATAGTATATCATCATACAGCTAGAATTAGTTTCAGGATTATGCCAGAGAAAATTTCCTAAAATTTGAAAGTATTATTTACAGGGTTGCCACTCAAACAGGGGAATGAAATTCCCTGACTTTTCCAGGTGTGTTTCGAGAAAATTTCAGCCTATCCACGTAATGCACATTGGTTGTGCTAAGAGGTAAATTAATTATGGAATTACTTGAAAACACAAAAATTTGCCAATTACATATGACTTATATCCTCAAAGCATTACTATTATAATTATAATAGGAGATATTTCTCCATTGAAAGATTGAGATTAGAATCTGCCCAATCTAGAATAAAAGAAGACTTTCTTTCGCAGACATTTTGCAGCTAAATGAAAGAAAGAAATCTATTTAATATTTTTTTAATAAATTGAGGTATTTTATATTTATTTCGCAGCATACATAAGCAAAATTATGCATTAAATTTTGTGATGGTATGTCATCATACTGCTAGAATTAATTTCAGGATTATGCTAGAGAAAATTTCCTGAAATTTGGAAGTATTATTTACTAATGATAAATAAATTTAGAGGGAAGAAGCAACATAAAAATAAAGATAATTACTTAAAAACTGAATTAGAATAATCAACGATATTTTAGCGAATATAGTTATATTAAATGGTTAGCCTAGGACTGATTACTATTTTTTTATTTCACTGCAAAATGACAAATAATACATTTATTTAAAAAAGGAGTTTGATTTTGCGGTAAAATCCTAGTATATGCTACGACCTCGGCACGATTTTTAAAACTGTCGGCAACACCAAAATGACATGTTTACTGCTTATCATAATGTCCCCAAAACCTGCGTGTACCATACATGGAAGTTATTCTAACCAAAGAACGTCTATGTAAAGAAGAAAAGTTTCCACAGACGTAATGCTATTATTACGCCGCTAGAAAGCGGAGGGAAAATTTGCCAAGGGGTCTGGTGGCCAGAACTTCCCTCTCCGCGATGTGTACAGGATAATGAGGAACACATGTTAAGAAGAAACATTCTTTGACAAAACGTTTCTTCTTCGATTTTTCGCAATAATTTAAAAACTGATTTTCATAATTTTCCCCCTCAAAATAACTAATCCATTAATTAATTTGCACCAAAAATACTTTCTTTTTCTTTAAAATTTAAAGAAATTTTACACGATATTCATTTTATGAACTATTGATAACGTGACCTTCGAACTTCGACACCGGCTTCCAAGCTTTGGCGACAGATGTTTCGGGCATGCACAGCTGTTTCCTGTTTCTCTCTATGTTGGAATGGAGCCACGCCTATTGCAGAGAGGTTTTTCTTCTTTACAATACATATTCTTTGAATCTAACCTCCATAGTACCATATACTAGGATTACACAAATTTTGTTTTATACGAGAATGAATACTTTCTTTAGTTCAACATGCACTGCACATGTGATTCTCGGGGTTACTGGAAACTTGCTTTGCCTTTCTAAAAGACAATCTAATTGGAGCTGTGAAAATTGGCTCTATGGCAGCTGCCCGAATGGCAGTACACAATTCGCTAAGAAAGTGATCTCTTCCAAAGTCGGCGCAAAACTCGCTTTTTTTTGGCGGGATCGTTGTATGAAATTCCCTGACTTTTTCCAGTTTTCCAGGTAGTGTGGCAACCCTGTATTTACTAATAATAAATAAATTTAGAAGGTATAAGCACATTAAATGATACGAATAACATTAAAATAAAGATAATTATTTAAAAATTGAATTAGAATAATCAATGATATTTTGGCGAATATAGTTATATTAAATAGTTGGCCTATGTGACCGATTACTATTTTTTAATTTTACTGCAAAATGACAAATAAGGCATTTATTAAAAAAAAAAAGAGGGCTTAAAAAGATTTTGTGGTAAAATCCTAGTATATGCTATGGCCTTCGCATGATTTTGAAAATTGTCGCCAACACCAAAACGACTCGTTTACTGCTTATCACAATGTCCCCAAATCCCATGTTTACAGTACATGGAGGTTAAAATAGAATACACAGAGGCTATTTTAATCTCCATGGTACTCTATACTAGGATTAAACCGATTTTATTTTATACGAGAATACATATTTTCCTTCGTTCAACATGCACTGCATATGCGCATGCGTGTCTCTCAATACTCAAGGTTACTTGAAATCTGTTTTGCCTTTCTAAAAGACAATCTGACTGGAGCTGAGAAAACTGGCTCTATGCCAGCTGGCTGAATGATGCTCAAGCAATAAATAATTCGGCAAGAAAGTGATAGCTTCCAACATCGGTGCTAAACTCGCCTTTTTTTAGAGGGGGGGGCAGCGGAATCGCCATATAAAATTCCCCGACTTTTCCAGATTTTGACTAAAATATTTAAATTTCCTTAATTTTTTGGTCAATTTTCGAATTCTCTGAATTTTTCTGGCAGCATGGCAACCCTGTATTAAATACAACATTCATATCTCTTAATCCTTTTAAAAAATCATTTATGACAAATTTTATTATGGCTATGGCTAAAAGAATATTTGTAAAAATGAAAACAGATTATATTGCTAATGTCTAGGAGCAGCTATTGACCTTTTGAACACAGCTCAGATCACATAAATTTTCGAGTGTTAAAGAAAAACTTAAACAGAATGTCGTGGTAATTAATTTTTGAATTTAATAGTTAAAAATACTTTGTTTCTTTGCGTACCACTTATTTTTTCTTGGGTAACACTAGTTGAGAATCACTACTCCAAGTTAAACTAACAGAAAAGAGATGTGATGCTCATACAACTTTAAACCTTCTGCCGAGAAATTTCCAGTTATTCCTTCAATGTCTTGACATTGATGGAAAGCACATTATTTACAGTTACATAAGGCCAGATACAATTATAGTTGCATAGGGATCAGACTAAAATGCCACCACGTTTGGCAGATATAATGTATATGTTTGATGACTTTTGGCAATTATCGCCAGCCTAGTGCCATCTTGTCAATATAGCCATTGACCTCAAACTTAAATGGACTTTCACCTGTAACCTTATTTTTGTGGCTTAGCTTTGCATTCTTGAAAACTTTTATGTTACATTATACAAAAGATAATGCAACTTACATATAACCTCCCTAAAATTTATACACAAATTTCGTAGCTTTCAGAACATACTTGGCTAAAAAAAATTAGGAATAATTATACAGTGAAAATGGAACTAATAAAATTTCAAATTGAAAATAATAATAATATCATGTAATGGCACCTAGCTTTGTTAAAAATCTCAACAAGTTTCACACAAGAAAATATATTTAAGCTTTTAATTTGCATAGTCCTAATATTAGACACAGCCACTTAGGAATTTACAGACTAAGAATTAAATTTAAAAATATCAATTTATTTCTAGTTAAAAGTGCACATATACATAAAAGAAAGCAAAGATTTACTTTCCAACACAGTTTCTACATTATTTTACTGTACAAGATAGGCATCATAAAATGAATAATAAAAATGACAAAATTAGATTAGATTTAACAGAAAACATATGGTACTATAAAATGCATAATTTGTTCTAGAAAACTTTTTCGTTATAATGTGTTAAAAAAATTCAGATCATTGACTTCCTTTTATGTTTTTAATGATAATGTTGCAATTAAGTGTCCTAATTCATGAACTTTGTGGCAGTTGGGAGGAGAAAGAAATGCTTTTTCTTAAAAAGCAAAAATAAATAAATAAATAAAAATAAGAAAAAAAATTAAAAATTTGAGAATGGAAGGTCTTTTATTAAATAACATCAAATAAAAATGCTGCTATAAGTGGTTATTCTAAATAGTATAATTAAAGTGGAATACAGTATTTCATATTTCACCATTAACTTTTAACACAGCTCAAAAACAAAGTAAGCTATGAAACAGCAACAGAACATTTAAAATATGCTGAGCCATTATTAAAAATATTATAGAAGCAAAAAAAGCAAAACTGTCACACTAATATTAAAATAATTCATTATTTTCTATGCTGCAGTGCAAAACGGCAGTTTCTTGCATACATTATACCATAATTAGCAGCATAACAACCATATTTAGAACTGAGTTGCTAGTAACTAAAAAGGACAGAGCATCAATTTTAACTTATTGAATATTACATTGAAAGTAGCTGCAGAGGAAAAAAAAAAAAAAAAAAAAGGTATGTTTCATTATTTAAAATACTCAGTTATGATTATTTGAAGTATATTTACAAATGATGATCAGTTCCACCAAAAAAAAAAAAAAAAAATATTACAAAAACTCGTCACACCAGTCAGAAAGGCATTGATAGCATTCAGATGCTTGCTTGCTGTTTGCACCACTAATGTCTTTCATCCAATCAATGAATAATTCCTTGTGTTTCTTCAGAACTAAAAACTGACCTAAGACAACATAAGCCTGCAAAAAGAAGGAAAAAAAAATATTATTACAGATTTCTTGATTTCATACCTTTATGAGAGATAATTTCAAACAATATTTAAAAATAATTATAACTTTCAGTACTACAGTATTAAAAAACTAATTAAAAATGTATAAATACCTTCCTTATTTGCACCAATGAACACACATTAGTACTGTCTTATAAAGTATGTAACACAGTATAAAGTCTGAGATTCAAATGATTTCAAATCCGGACCTTAAAGCCACCAACAAAATTTTTTTAATACATTATGCATTTGATTTTTTCCCCGTAAGAAAACATATGGAGAATCCCGATTCTTATTTTCACTTTGGCACTAAATCAAATACTTTGTTATTGAAGAAACAATCATTTTAGCATAAGTGTAAGTGATCAATAATTTGCCTGCTGCTTAGCATACATCACTAACCGAAGTATAGTTGATGATGCCCAACCTTGCAAATCATTATTTACTATATTTTGCTTTCATCACTGTATGTTTATCAACATATGACAACTTGAGTAAAGACTCAGCGATGCCTAAACATTATTATTACTTTTTTTTTTTTTTTTTTTTATGTTAGTGATTGGATAACAAAGAGTATAGAAACCTTTTATGTTGACATTATGCTTCATGATGATTACAGATTCAAGTTAAATGCACTAAATGTTGACGAGAAAACATTAAACAAAAATTTCTTTCCATATGCTAAAAATAGATTTTGTTAGTGATACTCATAGGCCAAAAGATTACATTTAGTGCTATTTGAATTCAGAATAAGTGAGTTTTTATTCCCATAAACCCAGAACCAGTAGCAGAATTTAGGGAAGACAATATTTTTTTTTTTAATTTAAAGCACCAAGTAACAAAATTAAGGGATGATAAAATTTTAGAATTTAGTGAAAGCACAGGAACCCAAAATTAAGGGGCACCAAAAATCTAGAACTTAGGAAGGTGCTTGGTAGCAGAATTTAGGAACTGTAGAGACTGCATCAGGTAACAAAATATCTAGCGCCGGCCCTCAGTAAAATTAAGTATATATGGGAATTTATTCAGGACTCGGATAAGCCTTAAGTATGTGCAAGAATTAGACATAAGTATAATATATAACCAAATTAATACAATTCAGACTCGATTGTCTCAGAGCATGATAAAAGCAAGACAAAATTTCGCTAAACAACTTGTCTTTCATCGCCATTCTCATGCTACATAACCAATAATGCATAGCGGACGCTTATTATACTTTCCTGCATCCAAAGAATTTCAGTTAATATAGCATATTGTGTTGTTCCTTATCTTTCTGATTTGACTCAGCTTATTATTTTTTGCAGGCTGTTATAATTACAACAATTTTATGAGAAATTTGAACTTTTGATTATGTCGAAAAGAGTTTCTGATTCTGGAGCTGCAATAGGATCTGCAAAGCCAAAACAAGTTTTGAAATGTTCATTAAACAAAGAGTGGAATTGCTGCAAAAATGAATATAGGTATATCCGTCTCAAAATTATGCAAGGAATATGGCATCGGAAAGTCAACTATATATGACATAACAAAAAAAAGGAATTTAATGAGTTTTTGTGGATTCCGACACCCCACTCGCAAAGTGCAGATCGTGACAAATTGATAGTAAAACAGAGACGCAGCAAGCGCATGCCATTGATTGGGTCCAATGCTAATGGCTCAAGCCAAAATATTTCATGAGGAAATGAACTTCAAACCTGACTGCACATATTCAACAAATTGGTTAACCAAATTTTAAAATCACCATGGTATAATGCAATTAAAAATTTCAGGTGAAAAAGCTTCAGCTGATACTATTTGCAGATGAATATTTGCTGAACTATTTGCAGATGAGTATTGCGAAATACCTTGGCAATAGAAAAGGCTCCAACTGGTGTCAAAGATTCGAAAGGTAGACTAACAATTTTAATATTTGCAAATGCTGCAAGAATGCACAAGTGTAAACTTTTCGTAATCGTAAAAAATACATGACCTCGAGCATTTAAAGGAGCAAAGATTTTTCTATTATATATCATGCAAATAAAAGAGAACGAATGACAAGGCATTAATGCATGACTGGTTTGAAAATCATTTCATACCTGAGGCTCGGCAAAATTTGAATTCAGTTGGTTTACCTGATGACGCAAAAATTGTTCTGATTGTAGATAACTGTTCAGTTCATATTTCACTTAAAGTTTTAAGAAAAGATAATGTATTCGTGTTACTTTTTCCTCCAAACTGTATGTCCATATTCAGCCTATGGATATCGGAATAGTACGCATGACGAAATGCAAATATAAAGTAGTATTTTTATCCATGTTAAATTTCTTGAATTTAATATTTTAGCACAAAATCTGCTGTGCTGAAGCATCACAAAATCGTGGGAGGATGTGCCTCCAGATACTTTAAAAATGCTTAGCATAATTTACGGCCAGCTACCAATCATATTTCATGGTGAGGATGATGAAGATGATTGCTGCAAATTTTAAGGCTCTTGGGTATGGTAAACCACAGATCAAATTTTCCAATTAATGGATTTTGCAAAGAAATGTGGAGAAGTGGTAATAAATAAAGATGACATACCAAAATTTTTTCATTGCAATAACAATGTTCCAATAATCAGACAATTAACCGAATGGCGAAATCTGTAGTATGGTTCCAAATCTGGAAAGTACCGCTACCGGTAGTGAAGAAAGTGACAGGCAAAAAAAAAAAGGTTATTGAAAACGAAAAAAATTTGCGATTGACAAATTAGTCAGAATTCTCCACACAGCAATTACAGGATTTGAACGAAGGGACTCTGTAACAAGAAACTATATCTATCTATAGAATTAAAGAGAAAGTATTAACACAAAAAACGAAGCAACTTGAACAGCTTACATTGAAAGAAATATTTAATAAAGTAAAAAATAAATATTAAGCATTTTTTGGTAAATTTTGATACTCTTTAGATCATAAATGCTTCATTATTTTGTAAGTCATGACTTCATATTTTTAATTTTTTAATTTCTACACACCATTTTACTAGATTTGCTAAATACCCTTTGCAAAAATTTGCATCATTCCTGTTTATGTGCAATGCCCTTCCAAGCAAAATGGCATCTAAAACATAATGCAATAAAACATAAAAATTATAACAATCTCAAATTGCATTTTTAAATCAAAATAAAACAAAAACAAAAAAATCTTAAAAGTTTCAGATTTTCAATTATGTCCAAAGGGGCTTTTCTTGAACATTTTGTGTGTTACCTTTATTTATTAAATATAATGTTCTTCGCACTTAAAGCATAAAATTCAGTTAAAGAGCAATATCGCAAAATAATTTTAAATTGAGCATACCTTTAGAATTTCCGATACACAGTCTCATGCGCTGGAGATAAAACTGTTTTTTGTGTACAATGGTTGCCATCGCTCACTTTGAAATCCTTGAGTTTGTTAATAAAAAATTCCTTTTACAGATATTTACAGTTTCACAAAATATGAAATCGATCATAAAACAAATTCCAAACTTGGGCTTCCAGATGCCCATATTCGCAGTAGGATTATATCATTTACACAATGCAAGAAATATACATACATTTATGCAGATTTTTCATTATTTAATTTCTTCAAATATAATGCAGGACTCTAACATTTGGTGGCAACAGTTTGAAAAGTGAAACTGACATTATAGTGAATCAATGCAAAATGAAAACAATAGTCCTTCAGGAACAAAGTCCCTTTAGACTAACATAAAATGGAAATATATGTTATATAATCAGTGCAGTACAAAAACCAATTATCAACTTACCTTATTTAGAAATTTCTGCCTTCGGTATGTAGAACATAACAACATTTAAAAACCGTTTAAAATTATCTGAACTAGAATCTGTACATACTGCCATCACCACATAAATTCACAAAAGAATAAAAAATATCCTCTGTACTGCCAGACTATCGACAGTATTTCTTTCATAAATCTCTTTTTATTACACCCCACATACCTTTGATAGTGTTGATATGAGCTCTGGTTTCCATATGCCACTGCATAATTTACTGAGAGGTGAACAAAAATCAGAAAGACAGTCCTACAACTTCCAGCAATCGGATACAATCATTGTCCAGATAAGATATTCCACTGAATTACAATTAAACCTTCATATACACACCAGTCAATCAATGCTTTTTTTTTTTTTTTTTCCATTCATTCCAAATCACACAGAAACTTCAGGTGTTAAACTTATCACCAGCAGCCAGTTTACAGTGTAAAGCACAAAATAAGCACCATACTTCCTAACCGGCATCCAACGCAGAAATGAACGCTGAGAAATATTTTCCCAACAATCAAATTCAGCACCACAATCCTGATTTCAAACAATCGCATCATAGTAGAGTTTCCAAAACATACACTGTAAAATACTCAGGTTACCATTACTGAAAAAACAAGCTGGGAATAACCAAAATATAGACTACCCCATTTTTTGATATGGCAAAGGGCAAAAACTTGGGATCACTCTAGCTCAGTTACATTGTTAAGAAAGATAAAGCAAATACAGCAGAAGATAGCATTACAGAGATCATTAACTCTCACCTTCCACAAAGTAATGATTCAGAAGATTCAATAAAATGAAAAGATAATACAAAGATATTCCAACAGCCCACCCGACACTGTTGTGAATTGTGAACTACGACACACAATTGCCTCAAGAGAAAAAAGATCCCAGGACTACCTTACCACAGATACAGCTGAAGAACTTAGAATAGCAAATAAAAACAGACTCTTACCAACACTTAATCGGTGCTGTTCCAGGTAGTCTGTTACTGGAACCAGAATTAAGAAATATATGCGTGTATCCATGTGTGCATGTATGAACATTTACGTGTGTGTGCATATACATACATGCATACATATATATATGCATACATAAAAATGAACACATACATTCACATCAGGACCGGATTTAGGTCCTGATAACAAAAGAGTTCCCTGCTCCCTAAAAAGGAAAAAGAACGAAATCAATGAGGCTCCTACAGGCCTATTTCCTTACTGTCAGCTTTTAGTAAAATTTTGCATAAATTAGTCACCCAAAGGCTTACTCACTTTCTGAAAGGCAACCAATGCCCAAACGCAGCTTAATTCGGCTTTATCAATAGAAAACAAACAGTAGACGCCTTAAATAGCCTTCAGAACACCATCCTAGAAAACAAACACAACATCTTGCACACTTGCATCTTCTCATTAGATGTGGTGTTAGCCTTCAACCAGTTATGATGGCCAGCACAAAAAGACTGAGATTATTAACTGATATTCTTCTCCCAGGGTAAGAAGTAATCAGGAAAGTTCACTATAAATGACTGCAAATTAAAAATGCATATGCTATGACAATTTTTAATGGTTAGGGCAATGGCTGGATAGTGCCCAATGCCCAGTGGTTTCCTAAATCACATCTGAACCCACATCACAGACTACTTCATGTGGTGGTGATCTATGACGCGAGGTGATCTATCCTGTCCTTTTCAGAAAAGGTGAAATCACCAATGCAATGATAGATAATTTCAGTGCTAAAATGCACCACAAACTTGTCCATAAGCATCCAGGAACTGTCAACAGTGCTGGACACTCTCTTTGAGTTGCAACATAAAACTCTTCCTCACCCACTACATTCTCCCAATTTCTTACAGAGACTACCATCTCTTCCAGCATCTTGATTATTCTTTCGTAGCGAAAACTTCCACGATATCCAAATATCACAGAATGCATTTGAGGACTTTTCACATCATAGACTACAAACATCTTTTGCCATGAAATCCAGACAAAAGTATAGAGCTGAAGATGGTGACAACTTATCAGAGAGTGTAATTTTCATTTTGAGAAGTTGTTGAAAATAATGAAATGGACATTTCAATCACTGGGATAAATTACCAGTACTTATAGGCCTTGTTCACCTAGCTATTGATGGCCTAATTACAGAAATGGGTTTAAAAAAAAAGAGCTCTTTTAATAAAGATTGAAGAGACAAAGAGTCAAATTATAACTGGACTTGATACATGAATACTTTTTTTTTTTTTTAGTTTCTTTTCCAAATTTTGACATCTTCAAATACTAGTCTTTTATGGTATATTGATTTTCTGTTTATTGAAAAAGCATAAAAATTATACAGCCATACTGTTAACCAACTATTAAGCATAACATATAAACAATGTTCATGAAAAATAAAGCAAAGATTTTACCTTATCAAAACCTTTAGCTTCTAATCGCTTGCTCAAAACTTCTCCAATACCAGCAAGTTCATTGACTAGTTTGTCGCCCATGGGCTCCGACACAAAATTCCGATGTTTTTGGGAAGTAGAAGACATGATTTATTAACTAGAAAATATTTCATAAATGAAATCATTTAATACACAAACTGTTAAAAATATAGCAGTATATCCATGCACACTTAATATACCTATTATGCATTTTGGTACCTCTAGTGGCTTTGACAAGAATGAAGATTTGGTGCATTTCTGCATTATGGCGAGAAGCAAGTGCAGTAGCACTCTGCTATTCATTATGCTTGTTATTATTGAACAAAATCATAACTTTTAAGTACTTAATTTATTATAGTACATAACTTTGTTAGCAGTTTATCAAGAAATAATTACACACTGGAAAATTTATTTTTTTATAAACTATTTACCATGGTTACAATTGAGCAATTGCTGCTAATTATGCCTTAAACATAGTATCATGGCCAACTTGGTACCTGAACATGAACTCTGCTAAATGTGATTCCACGTGATGGCGAGCCATGCCTCTGTGCATTTTATTTCACCATTTCATAGATCCTCGCAGAGCTGTAAAAAAGGATATTTGTGATCTACTAAATTATCAGTACGGACGCTTTTCTTTTTATAGCTGCAAACATTGCATCACCAAAGGTTCCCCCCACATTATGCAGATTTTAATAAATTCATTCTGTTGGTAAAATGTTTTTCTTGTAATAATCTATAGCCTCCTTTTCAACTGATGGTAGATTGAAAATAGCAACCATGATAAATATTTGCAATGAAAAATTGCTATAATTTAAAAGTGAAAATTTTTATTAGCTAAAGAAATGCCAACTGCAAAAAACATGCAAAAAAAAAAAAAAAAAAAAAAAAAAAAAACCACTATATTTCAAAATCGAAGGTAAAAGAAATTCATATGCACAGATCAGTAATCTGTAAAAATCATTATATTTTAAAAGCAAAAATTTTTACTAGCCAAAGAAACACTAACAACGAGCGCAAACAAAAACATTTGCTACATTTTAAAAGCTATGCTAGAAGAAATGCATATGTGCAGATCAGTAACCATTAATGTTTATTTCTAGGCAATCACATCAAATGAACAAGACTGCTGCAGAACACAATTACCTGTATATCCATAACATAGGCATCCTTGAATAACTTTTCACATACATGGTTTATTCTTTTATGTTTTTATAAAATGAACAGATTTCAAGTGAAAATTAGTCTTAGGTCCTTAGGGATGTAACAATACCTGTGACTTGTTTCTTCAGTACTATTCGGTTTCGAGGGCCGCAAAAAATCTCCAAATTATCGTCGATGCCAATGCTGCCAAAAAGAATTGCGGCAAGAAAGGAAGTATAATAGTAAATAACTATCTAAGATTGATGTTTTAATTTAGATGAAAGGTTGATTTCATATAATACTTTTTTATTATTATAATTTATATGAAAAAGGCTAAACATGACAGAATGGAAGCATAAGAGTAAATAACTATTTCCGATCATTATTAGATTTTTATATAAAAATTGCTAAACATAACTGAATGGATGCCTGCATTGCTATTTCGCTACCGACTTATCGCTAAAGCATAATTTCATCTCGTTGACTGTTCAAACGTAATTTTCTGTAATGAATGATGCCTTTTCTTTGAAAATATTCTCGGTAAAGTTCAGAATCGCTCACTTATTTGTTTGCCGCTTTTTACAAGGGTAAAAACAATTGGATTTTTGTCAATTTTCTTTTACTTTTTAAGTGAAAATAGGTCAATGTGTATATAAAGTCAAGGGTGTGCGCAGTCCATTTTTGTGAAATTCTAGGATTTTTTTTAAAGTGAAAATAGGTCGATGTGTACATGGATACCCAGTATGTGCAATTCTTAAAAACACGTCAAGCAGTGGGTGATTCTGCACTTTACCCCAAATTGCCGACTTTCCGTCATGGGCAATTCCCAAATTGTTAAATCCATAGGATATCAAAAAAGGATTTAAAAATTAAACTAGTATTTCAATGGCGTCTTAAGAAATATAGAACTATATAAACTTACAGCAATCCGAAATCAGCGCATACGCTAGATTTGGCGCGCTGTTAAATGGGTGCATTTACTAGATTTGGCCCTTTTGCGCATACATTTTCGCTCCAATTTTCTTACGGCCCTCAAAACAGAATAGTACCGTTTCTTCTTTACTCACATGCATTTAAATATCAAATTGTAATTTAAAAGTTACAGTTGGCCCACCAGCTGGCAAGCAGTCACTGAACACCAATCGTTACACCTAGGTTCAAATCTCAACAAACAGGTGGATACTTATGTACATATCATTATGATGACCTCCCCAAAAAAGTCAAAGCTGCCATCTTGTGATGCACAGAAAATGACAATTTTAACACCTAATATACATTAAACATGTATATCAGAGCTTTTACAATGTTTCCACACATATTTGAGTACCCGAACAAGGACTTGATTAGATAACAAATTTTTATTTTTCCAAATCCCATACTCCCACAAATGAATTTTCAATATACTCCTTAGGAACCTTTTCTTTATATTACTGTTTTACAAGGTAACCAGAAAAGTTCTTGCCATTTCTGATATGACATTGGAAGAGTGAACCCCAACAGTAAAAATAGTCGCCACACCTGGCGATGAAGAGGTTAGGATGGAAGTCCAGACATTGAACAAGAATATAAAAATGAGTCATATCGTTGCTTCAAACATAACTCACACAGCGACTGAATTAAATGACCAAGTCAAAGGTGATCATTCGGAGTTGTTTGCTGTATGATTTTAAAGTTGACCTGTCAGCAGCAGCAGAATCAAGCTGCCGAATTTGCCAGGCCTTTGGGGATGATGCAGTTAACAAACAAATCGCTAGGCTATGGTTCCAGAAGTTCACGTCAGGGGATATGTCTCTAGTGATGCACTACTCAGCAGTCGGCCACAATCGCTGGAAGATGAAGTCATGAGAGTAGCCATAGAGAGTGACAGTAGCCAAACATGTGGTGAGCTCACTGTGTACTTCCAGGTATACTGTATACTTCCAGGTATCTGATGAAACAATCAGACTCCATTTGCACCGCATACGAAAGGCATACAAGCCATATTTGATTGAAAGAAGGGAAGGCAGGGTTGCCACATTTGGCAACCCTGCCTTCCTTTGCCATTTTATGGCAACCCTAAAACTGCTTTGCAGGGAAGCCATCTTACCGTACCTGTACATTTTGTAACACTGCCCCCTCCCAAGGACCAAATTGGGCTTTCAACTCGGCCAGCGAGTGCAGAAGTGGTATTTTGAGAGTGAATGCCAGTGACCCGCCTGCAGAGGAAAGTCATGGCGGAAGAAACAAAGACTTTGATGGACCTTTTAGCAGAGTTGAAAGCCAGACAGGAAAAGATGAGAGCTGAAATGAAAGCTGAACTGAAAGAATTAAAAGGAGGATATGATGAGATAAAATCTGGATATAAACAGATGACGTCTGAGATGAAAGCTGGATTAAAAGAGATGAAGACCAGACGAGAAGAGATAAATGGCAGCCAAGAAAAGTTCAGAGAACTACTCCAACAGCTGAACTTGGAGCTTACAGAAGAAACTGGAGCCATAAAAGACGATGTGGAGATGACAGAAATGCTGTCTGAAGAATCAAGGGATGAAGAAATGAAGGAAGTAGCTAATGAACTGTCTGAGGAAGATCAAGAAATGAAGGATGAAACATCTAACAGGATTACTGAAAAAGAATGGAAACATGAAGAAATAAAAGATGGGAAAGAAGCTTTGATTCTCAAGAGCCTGAAGTGGAAGATAGTGAAAATACGACTGTCAAGTTCATAGAAACTGATAGTGAAGTTACGAAGTCGCAGTTAGAAAGTATTGAAACATCTGAAAGTTCATGTGACGCTGAGATGGAAGAAGCTGATGTACAACTTATGCAGAGTGCTTTAGTATTGCAAGAAAATTCACCAACTTTGCAAGCTATGCGTGTGCCTCATAGCGCAGGTTGTGCAGACACGAACTTGATTCTAAACCAGAATACTTCTACTTGTACAGAATTGGATTCTGCTCATAACTCTAATGCAAACAACAGAAATAGTTTTAAGGAAATAAGAGGTAAATCAGCATGTACCAGTGGCTGAAAATACTGAGATGAACTGTATACATGATGCGAATAAACTACAAAGTGGTAAACAAACTCTTTCAGATCTTTCTGTGGATGAAAAGTCAGAAAGGACAATCTTCAGACTGTGATATGCAAAACATAAATATATCCGAGTACTGCAGTGGAAGAGTATTTGTCCTGGGTATAAATTAACGTAAAAATTGATTCTGAAATTCATCCAGAACTTTAATGTGTCCAATTTATGTATATCACTTGTACATAGTGTAAATATTTGTTTCTTTTATTGTTTTGAGTGTATCGAATTTGGCTTCTGACCAAAGGTTGTACTGCCCGGGACGTGCAGTCCTTGGGAGGGGGCAGTGTTACAAAATGTACAGGCACGGTAAGATGGCTTCCCAGTAAAGCAGTTTTAGGGTTGCCATAAAATGGCAAGGGAAGGCAGGGTTGCCACATTTGGCAGTATGCCACGGACGGATGGAGAACCTTCTGGAACGAATTTTTACCGGTTTAGCCCAAAGTGTTCTCGAACACCAGCCAAAAGCTATATAAACCCTGCTGGTCCGCAGGCAGTGAGAGTGTGTGCCTCGTCTAGCGAGCTGATAGTCAGTCATTGAGGGGTGTCTCGAAGTCTAGAGCCGAGTTAGTTGTCGAGTGCATCGAGTCTTTTAGTGTATCGCGAATTAGTGCTTCGTCAAGTTTTGTCTTAGACTATGATGAGTCGAGAGCTATACTCTTGTGTATCATCGAGTGCATCGCGAGTTGTAGCGTGGAGAGTCTCGAGAGTACGTGGAATTCCGAGAATGACCGAGCAGAGTCGGAAGCTGTTCTCTGGCGCTTTGCAGTGAAGCTGTCTCCACCATTATTGCTGACAGTGTGAAGGCTGTGTTGCTGAACGTGTCAGCATGTTTCTAACAGTTCAATGACTATAAAAGTGTTTTGGAGCTGTCCTGACTAATATTGGCTAAATAAAGTGTGTTTCGATACTTCATCAAGTGTCGTCGTTATTCACTCCAAATCCACACAAACCCCGTAAGAACGTGAAGGAAGAAAATAACATAACAACTGGTGTCAGAAAAGAAAAAGGTTAATCTTTGGATTATGGTAACTTGGCGACCAACCCTGCTACAGCAACCTGATAGTTTGTTTTTTTTTTTTTTTTTTTTGGGCGCTATTTTTGTTTTTACGAAGTAAAGGCATTTTTTCCCTCTCAACATTTTTTTTCCAACAATCTGCTAGCCAAATTATGCTTATGCTACACGTCTACTTATTTTCACTTAAAAAAAAAAATCCCACAATTGCACAAAAATGGCATTGTGCACACCCTTGACTTTATCCATGTACACTGCTAAAGTCCTGGCTAGTAACCTTTATCACCTTACCAAATGTCGCCAAACTACCTGTTACCATATTCCAAAGATTAGCCAAGAAAAACACAATATCCTTCATTTTGCATTAAGGACTCATCGATTTATTGCAATATTTGATTGAGATCATGACTCTTTTTCAGATGTACAAGATTGTATGATTTTCCTGCTCGTACGAGTTTGATACCGACGGTCGCGAGCGGCAAAAAGAAATGCCAACAGATGGCAATGCTGAAAGCACAAATATAACAATCTTATGACAGGAAGTAACAGGTGCAAAAAATATACAAACATAATTGAATACAAATCAGATTCAATAACACAGAATTATTTGCAAATTGAAGGAACTAAGTGATAAAATAAAATGTCGCTTTAAAAAATGAAATTGACAGCAAGAACTACTTTAGATTAAAAAACGAGAAATAAAACAGTTAAAAATATAATTTAAATGGCATTAGATGAGCAACTGAAATATAGGTATTGAGAAAAACTTAAAGAACTCTTGTTTCAAGAAATGGTATGAAAATTAATGAAACGTATTACTGAATGCATAGTTAATGTATAATTAATAAAAAAATATGGCCGAGCAATCAACACAATTGTCTGTTCGTGACGCAAGGCAAGAGGCGCTTCGCCTTACTTCATGGCTACGCACAATTTGGGAACCCCTGCTCTAACCCAATACTGTGCCTCATTTGTTACAAAAACGAGACCTGATTCATCAATAAATTGAAAAAGATCTCCTACTACTTGCTAATACTTGAGTGACTTCTAAAAAAAAAAGATTACACGCATCTTCCTAATTTTCATGGAACTTTATGCTATGCTACCAAGTATTTATTGGTACTTGTGTATCAATGCAAAAATTTCGCCAAATTTTCAAATGTGCTAAATGTTGGTAACCATGTGCATAAGAATTCTTCAATTTTAAAAGCAATGTCTTCATTTACTTGTGGATTTTACCAACAGAGAAAGAAATCACACTAAAAGATCCATAGGAATTCAGTCGTAAACTTTGCCATAAAATCATAAAAGATAAAAATTTCTTTGAATACATTCTTAAAACAATCATCACTAACATTTGCAAGGACAAAGGAAACAATATGGTAAAATCTTAACTAACAGGAATACTTGATAAATACCAAATTCCGGATAGCTGAATCTATACAAAATGTAATTCACAGTAGAAAAGCCATATGGGTACCACTTTGGTAGACGGTTGCATGGATTTTGGAGATTTTTTTTTGGGGGGGGGGGGCGAACGATACGACTTATGGGAACCCATTGCTGGACAAGTTATTTATGGTAACCGATACTTTGTTGTCATTTTATTTAAAAAATAATGCATATTATTATGCATAAATTCCATTTTTAAAATATTATTTATGGCTTCTAAATATTAAAAATCAATTTAATTTTGCATTTTTATTTGAAATAATTTTATAATTTATGTTGTGGATTGAGGTAATCAATGACGTAACCTTGCTTTAAAAGTAATTGGTTTTAATATCTATAAATTTAATCTAATGCTTTAAACATTATTTATGGCTGTTGAATATTAAAATACAATTTAATTTTGCATGGTTTTTTAAAAATGATTTTATTATGTATGATTATTTAAATAATTTTAATTCTAGGCATGATGTAATCAGCTCAAATCTGTTTATCAATTTCACGCTGCTCTGCGGCCGGAAGGGGGGAACGCCTCGGCGCACGATGAATTGGAAGTTGATCTGTCAGCACTATCCTTATCTTCAGGGCAGATGTTTTTATTTTATTTTGCTTATAATTCCTTACTAAATGTAGTATTTCATCTCGATGTACTCCATCTCTGATATGATTTAAATCAAATTCCTCATCATTATAATTCGCTTTCGATAGCGAAGAAAGTGACACAGATCTTTTTGAAAACGAAAAAATTTCGGTTGACAAATTAGTCGGTATTTCTCGACACAACAATTATAGGACTTGAACAGTGGAACTTTGTAACTGAACAAGAAATTATGTCTGTTTATAGAATTAAAGAAAAAGTATTATCACATAAAAAACGAAGCAACTTAAACAACTTACATTGAAAGAAAAGTTTAATAAAGTAAACAAATAAATATTAAGCTTTTTTTTTTTGTAAATTTTGATACCCTTTAGATCATAATTGTTCTTTATTTCATAAATTACGAATTCATATTTTTAATTTTATTATTTCTGCATGCCATCTTACCAAATTTAAACTGATGATCTATAATCCGGAATCGCCAAAGTCCCGACGAGTCCGGATTAATGACTTTTGACTGTATTTTAAAATTCTTTTAAACGTTGGTATAATTGTTTTTAATTCGATATTCAATTTACAGAATATTTTAATCCAATTAAATGTTGGCGCAATGTTTTTATTCTATTTCATTGCTATATGAAAGTAATAATTTAACCTTACTTTAGTATTTTATACTCATAGTAAATGTATTTATTTACATTTGCCTGCCATCTTAAAAAACGATGTTTTCAACAAAAAAATTAATCCAATATTTTTAACGATTTTTTTTTTTTTAATTTTGAATACTTTATTATGTGAAAAATACGTAAAAGCAGCGTTTCTCAAGATGGCTGACGATTGTAAAAACCACGCCAACAATTGCACCAAAAATCCATGCAATCGTCTACCAAAGTAGCATCTCGACTTACTGAAAGCACACCTTTTATTCTGGTAAACTTTATTATATGAAATAGATTTTACATCAAATGATACAGTAATGCATTCTTTGCATAATCCAACATTACACATTGGACAACTCGTATTTGTTCTCGCATTTGTGTAAAACCAGCACAATGATGTCTTGATTTTCCAACTATTGGAAGATGATCCCCAACATCTAAGAGATTCTCAGTACTTTTTAACCCAGCAGTAACTCTTAAACTTTTAGTGGGACATATACATCCTGTGGTAGTCAAAAGGTTAAAAACTGCATAAGATTCTGGGGAAAAAAATTACATTTCGTACATAAAATCAAATATATTTTGTAGACTTTATATGAAATGAAATAATGTTATCTGATTATAAAATGCTATCGAACTTGAAAACTGGCAGAGATGTACCTCAATACTTCGGTACAAGACTTAAAAGAAAAAGATCATTCTTTTACTTAATTAAAATCGTATGATTCAAGTTTGTTAAAAACATCTACCAATACAATATTCAACTTATCACTATTTCAATGGAGTATGTGTTGAGATTAAATCAATTTAATTTGATGGAACACGTGTGTCAATCACCTTTCAAATTCCATCTTATGCAGCAAACACGGCACAGTCTACCTACCAGAACAGACCTCTCAAAAAGTGTCTACAGCAATTTGTTCTGACAGAAATGGGCCCTCATGGGTTGACCTCCAGAAATCAACAACTACGTAGCCAACTCCATTTTCAACTTAATTTATAAACCAAATTTTCCCCTATTATAACTTATGTTATTAATGATTTACTACATTCTTCCACTTTAGTTCCGACAAGATGATGACAATTTTAGTAACTAAGACGATGTTACAGGACTTTACTCACTTGCAAACTGTAGCCAAATTAATACAAAAGCATTATGCAATACATATTTAGAAATGACTTATCATAATCCTTATCGTGAAATTTTAAATATATTTTAAAAACATTTTTTTAAAGTAAAGATCACCATTCTTGTCCTAATTAATGTTATGCACAATGAAAAATACAAGAAAATTAAAAGTTTATAAAACAAACATTTTTAAGGATACGAATGTTTCCAAAGGAAACAGACCCTAATATAATTGTAATTAAGGCTAAATATATAACTAAATCGCAGACATAAACAGGGCTTTACTATTTTTACAACGGATTTGCATTCTATAAGCATGAATACAATACAACATTGCAGACAAAATAACACACAAAACTTACATACCGCTACCAAAAAACGACGCACATTTAGCTTTATAGAAACATAATACAGCAACTTACGTTATAAGAATTAAATGAAGAAAACTTGTTACCTCTCTCTCTTCCTTCGAGTACAAATAAAGCAACAACGTTATTCGAATATTAAGAGTTGAGTTGTAAGGAAATTCTTTGTTGCTGCAAAAAGCTTTATTCTACTTCGTTGCTGTATTCGGTTATAACGGGTTATAGCAAGGTTAAAATAATGCATAAATAATTTCTTTTAAAAATTTTGAAAACCTTCAGATTTTATATTACCGCCAATGGGCCGTTTTTTTCCATTTACATACACAAGGGCGTTTTGATAACGTTTGGGCTAATGCTCTTTCGGACTAAAAATATTTAAAACATAAGACAGTCTCGCGCGCAGCAGATAAAAATGTTTTATTCCGTACACTGTTGCCACTGCTCGCTCTGAAATTGTTGTGTATTTTAATCAAAAATTCTTTAGTCTTACAAAATATGAAATAATTAATAAACCAAATTCGAAATTAAAATTTCGGGCTTCCAGGTGCCCGGTGGAGGACTTAGTTACTCAAAATTTGACTCTACGTACCGTTGTTTCTTCACACTGCGAGAAATATGCATTGAATCATGTAGATTCTTCATTATTTAATTTCTTTAAATATAATATAGGGTGATAATATTTGGTGGCAACACTTTGAAAATTGATTCAACCAAGGAGGTTAGAATTCTAACCTCCTTGGATTCAACGCGTTTAGTGATTTGACGGAAATGCCGTTTCGAGACTACTAGCCCTTTTGCGCTAACACCCCTTTGAGCTTATGAAAAGAGAAAATGAAAATGAAACAACTCAATCTTAAAATTTCAATCGCTTTGTTTTATGTCATTAATAAAATTTATTTAAAAATAAATATTACAAAAGTATTACATTTTCCAAGTGAACAAATTTCTTTTGAGAAGACAAACATCTATTTCTGAACTAACAAAAAAAAGAAAATCAACAGTAATCTGTAATCTGTTACCGAAAAAAAATTACGAATAGTTGACGAAACTCACGAGTTCTCGCTGGATAGGAGGAGCTTTAAGGGTATTTTATTATATCAGTTTACTGGTACCAGAATCGAAACTAGATGCGACGTTGAACCATATAAAATACTCGTGCTAAATAGCAATATATTAATAACAAAAAGCTGTATTTTTTATGTTTTAAATGTCTTCGCATGCCGTCAGACGGGAAAGCAGTCAGCGATTCTAACTGCCTTACCGAAGGACCCGGGCTCGAATCATCTGTCCCTTCATAGGGAGCAATGGTGACCCGTATGAAAACCTTATTAGTGGCCAAAGCCAATAATGGTCAGTCCTTGCCATTGGAAAAAAAGTCTCGGATTTACGTAAGAACTATTAATCTGCATTTTCTATCTTTGTTCTAAAATGCATTAAAATACTTGTCACTCTTTATGCTGTCGCAAAAGAATTTGATTCTTGCTCTAAGATGAATGGAGAATATTTATTATACACGTACAAGAGTCAGTTTCTCCGAAAACCTTTACCATACTACCTCATTCATAGGCTCAGCTAGAGGGGGCGGTTCTCTCTCAGGCGGCACATTTTTGTAGGTAAACGTTCTTCGAAAGTTCAATTTCTTCGAAAACCTTTACCAGATTAACCCATTAACCTTAGCGTAGCTAGAAGACGGCAATACTCCCCCAGGTGGTTTATTTTTAGGAGCAGCATTTTCATCTTAAACCATTGTTTTATAGAAGCTGCCCACATGAACGTCAAAACAAGTGAAGAATAAAGCCATTCTGAATTGCTGTATAGAATTAAATTCAGACAAAAACAAGGATATAATATATCTAGAAGTTATATATAGTCTAATATATAGCGAAATCACCACTCGATTTCTACAGCTTGTTACTCTTGTTACATCTATTTTGTTCCGTCGAAACTTTTGAACGAAAATAGCGAATGTCGACAAAATTATGGTTATAATGACAGTAATAAGGAGAAATTTCTATTTAAGAGAAAATTATTTTAAGATTTTATTTTCGTTATTGTTATAGAAAAAGAAGCAAGAACGTGGCTTGGCGAGTTATTTGATTTTTTTAGGGTATTCTAAAATACGACTTCCTGAACAAAATGCATATAATGTAAAATACCGTAATATTACTGTGTTTGGTTTCCTCATAATTATTGTAAATGTTGTTAGTTGTGAGAAGGGCTTTTTAAACAAAATTCATTTAGAACTATTTAAGAACCAGAAATGTTTATTCTGAATTTAAAAAATGTTTCTGTGCTCTCAAGCGCAGAAAATCTGTGCACAAATAGCACAACCAAGTTGCTAGAGCAAATGCTGGAATGAAAATTCTTTTTTAAAAATGAATAATTTATTACCTTGTATAGCATTTTGATATTTATTTGCTTGTATATCAAGAGCAATGATAAAATCAGAGACCACCTGGGACAGCTAACTCGGCTCCGCCCTGGGCTGCAAAAACACTAGCTAATCTGCAAACCATTAAACGAGTTTTTTGTCGACACAGTGAATGGCATATGTTTTGTTAGGTTCTGATAACAAACGACCTCGTTTATATAAATATGGGCTATTCTAGTGAAGAAATAAAAAATGGCATTAGAAGAATATTACCTCAAAATATATTTATATGGTGGAACAAATGGAGTAACAACTGAAATATGACCTCGAATTTATAGGATAATACCATGAAAATAATTTTTCATATTACAACACCTTAAAAAAATAGAAAAATTAATACATGTGCAAGATGGAAGAAATAAAGTCAAACATGTTAGTTAAAAGTTATTTTAATTTTCATACATAGCTAGCTTATATCAAGGATGAAAAGAATTTTTTTGTACTTAAAATAATTAATAAAATACTCTGTATTGTAAGTACAGCATTTTGTGAGAAATGAAGCGTTTTAAATTTAGATCATTAGCTTTTGTATATAATCTTATATTTAACGAAAATATTTTCACTAAATAAGACTGATTTTCCTCGCCCTTGAAAAATGTGCTTCCTCTTTCGATATTTAGTTAGAAAGATGTGAGTTATGAAACAAATGGGAGCAAAAGAAGAATAATTTTTCATTATTGACGTTTTCAACGACTTATTTTATGAAGTATATTTATAGGGTATATTTATAGGGTCAAAGGCAACTAAAAGAAATAAGAAATTTAAAGGAGAAAAACATTTCGAAAAGACTTCAAGATATAAATTGTAATTAACGAACCTAAATTAAGTGAAAGAAAATAAAAACACAGAATGTGTAAATTATGGAAATTTGGAAAAGAAAGGGGGTGAAAAATATCAGTCGCCAATGAAGCAGAATAATAATGTAATAAAAATGGAATAATAGAATATATATGCAAGGATGAATGGCAAGTATTACAAATATCAAAAATCACATAAAATTGTAATACGGTAAAAAAAATCATAAGACACTCAATATATTTTTTAATAGAAGCAGTTTTAAAATGAAAGTGAATAATAAAAAAGCATTTCAGTATATAGTCTTAAAAATTCTCTTTCGATAAATGAATTTCGCAAAAGCTTTCATGTATTAAAACGCGCTATTTATATGAACATTAAACTAATGAAATTTCAGAATATAGACTTAGAATTATTACTCTATACATTAACACATATTACTTAAATATTCAGTGGAAAATACCACTAATTTTAAAAATTATTATAAAAAGATTAAAACCGTTGCAAAATATGCAACAGAAGCATCAAGGAAGCAGTAGAAATAAACTAATGAGAAAAAATTTTGAGTAACTTTTTTAGGAGACATAAAATTCATGCTACTGAGGCACATTGTAGTACTTAAAGGATGAGGAAAGTAGCGTAGGGAAAAAAAACTGAATAGGGCGCATACAATACGGAACGAATAGAAAAAGACTTTGTTAGCAGAATGGCGTTGGTACAAAACACTTTCTGGTCAAGAGGTAAAACAACAAACCAAAGAGCCTGAGGAAGGCATATGACTTCCTTAACTGCAATGGTTATGCTGCACTGTCTTTCAATGCTTAACATTAGGTTATCTAATAGTTCTTGGGATGAGAGTTCCCATTCTTCAAGGAGCAACTGTTACAGTTGTCTCGAGATGGTAAGAATGTGCCCCCTGGCATCTCCTTAAAGAAATGGATTTTTCAGGAAATGATTCGCCACGTTCAGTGGATTTAAATCAGGCAAGCACACTGGACTATCTTTTCTGTGGATATCATCACTTTCGAAGAGCTCCTCAAGAGCACGAGTCCCTTGTGCCCATGCACGTCATACACAAAACTAAAGTCGGGACCGAAGGCAAGCAGGAAAAGGTGCACAGGGAGGAAGAAAAAATTGATCACAGTAACGATCACGGTAAGTGAACCTCTGTCGAAAATGTGGAGCTCCGTGCGTCCGTTCATCATAATGCCTTACTATAACAATCACGCCAGGACCACACCAACAGTCTCTTTCCTTGATGTTAGTGCGATGAAAGCGTGTCCCAATCTTTCTCCATATTAAACGGCGCCTAGAATCGTTTGTCAGAGTAAAATGACTGGCATAGGTGAAGAAGACATGCCCTAATGAGGCGTCCAGGCTTTGCGTTCTCTACACCACAACAAACGGGGCCGCTAACGGACTGTTGTTCTGGGGGCGAACAAGCCACCTTTATAATGTCGTCTGGCCACAGCAAATCGGGACACCTGTCGCACGTTCGCAGCTGCTGAACAATATTATCCATTGTCTGGTTTTGACCTGGGCAGTTATCAGTCACCTTTGTTTTCTTTGGCCGAAAACCCTTAACCGTTCTTACCGCGATGGTTGTAAGTTGAGAAATGAATTAGCTCCTTAAGAACGAAGTATATACATATAATCATTTTGCTATTACATATATCTTCAAGATTATACCCGAATCTATTCGGCAAGCCAAGTCAAAAGAAGCGCGAAGCTGTTTCAAAGGATTCTCAGTGTCCTTTTTGAGAGAATACACAGAACTTCGCAAGAAAACGGAAATTTTGAAAAACCCCTGACAAACTGAATGAGTTAGAAACGTCAAAATGAATCGAGATTTATGGAATAAAAAATAAAAAAACAAGGTAGATTAGGGACATATTTTTCGAAAACATTTTGAAATTCCCAGTGGTACAATAAATCAAAGTGTTGTATTGTTCATTGAAAATGCTATTTGTCATCAATAACCATAGACCTGTCCCATGTTAAAACTAGTTCCTTATCATCTTAACATTGGTCTTACAATTCCTGGATAATGA